AGTCTTGTATTTCCAAGAAATTGAATTTTTCATGAACATCGCCATATTTTAGGGTATCATACCCCCTTAACTAAAAGCGACACGTGCCGCACTCATTTTCCATATACTGTCAAACACAGATATAATGAGTGGTAACTGCGATTCAGTCAACCAGTCGGAAAGTTAGAGATGCATTATCCGAGGTTTAGACTTTTGGTTAGCTCTCTAGGGGGAATTGGAAGTTGAGCCAGCAGAAGTCACAGCGGCTTATCTCTTTACGCATGTTCAGAAACCGTTATACTTCGTCAAAATGCCTTTCTCTTAAAGCTAACCAGCCATTATAACCCCCATGCCTTCAGCTATATATTTACAGTGCGACGACTTCAACCGGGCCACCTGAGAGTTTTCGACCAATCAGAGCATTTTTTTGTGCGAGTTTGTTTAAGTTCTAATCACAAGACTAAAATGATTCGTTCTCCGAGTTGTTTGAGTTGTTTACAATCGTGCTGTGATTGGTTGAAAACTCTTGAGTGGCCCCGGTTACTGAGTAGTTGCAAACCATTGTGAAACTTTGTGAAAGCAATAATGTTTTTTTGCAAAATAGTAGTAACGGTGAACTCTATTTACATGTTTTCCAGAAACTATGAAATTCGCTCGATCGCAATCCCCAAAACTTCTTCGCAGTATTTCAAGCATTTCTAAATGAAAGCTAAGTGAAAGGTGACGCAAAGACAGAGACTAAACCGGACTTCGAATGATCTTAAGTACTTTATTGTCCATAATATTGAAAAGTGACGACTCAAGAATTTTGAACTACGTAAAGAAATTATTGGCAAACAACAACAGTGATAACTTAAGCTTTTACAGATAATGGTCAAGAAAGGCGACTTTTTACATTATTAACTAATGTTATCTAGTTTAAGCTTAAAACTTTACAGAATTAGGCGCGGAATTAGGGAAGTGACGTTATTTTATATATTACACATTCAACTGGACATGAAATATCTCGAGTATTCCATATCTCTGTCGGGAAATTTATTGTTCAGTTCTTATAACAATCCGTGTTTACCGCCTGCGGCCCTGAAAAATAAAATTGAAACTACGAATGAATAAATGAAATAATGGGTCGTTTACTTTACTTGCAATTCAATTACAATTGTCATTCTTAAACAATTACAACTGAAACAGAGAACAAAAATTGTTAACGCGATACTTTTAATCTGAAAGCACTACAAAATTTGCAATTTGCAAGCAAAGCGATACCATATTAAAATATCGTACTACTTGTTACATTGCACTTACCTTTGGTTAATTCTCTGTTTCTTCGCTTCGCCTCACTCTTGCTTCATACTTATCTAATAGATTTTCCAGGCGTTGTAAGAGCATTTCTCTCTTGGCTTCAGCGCGAGCGTCCTCGAACCTTTCATCTAGCGGGGCGGTCCTCCTTTCATCCAGGGGCAGTGCGCCGCCTCGCTCCATTCCCCGGCCGAGACGAAAGTGTGCGTTGGCCAGTTCGGCGAACAAGAAAGAAGTTAGGCAGCCGATTAGAAGGATCAATTTAAGCTGATTCATGTTAACCTGATGATTAAGATATACTGCTTTAGTTGAATAACGGTATGGTAAACAACTCACCATGAAATAGTTTATAAATAACTAACCACCCTCCCCTCTCCTTCTTAACTTTGCCTCGGCGATCACGAGCTTTTAAACATTGTCGCGGACAAAACGTCTTTCTGCCCATTAGCTGAAATAATGTGAGATTTCACCAGTGTGCTGAACTTCATTTACAAACTATGCGTTAGGACATGACGTGTTGTGACAAGTATAAGCGTAAATGTTTCTTTGCCATCGCTCCTACTCTTCCTATCAAGGCACACTGAAGTGACAAAAACAGGGCATCTCGTAAAAAGTTTGATTTCAAATTTTGACGTTTCGTATGCTTTAAAATACGTCTTCTGAAGTGAGCGTAAACTTAATTACTAGTAAATTTAATGTACGTGGTACCAACGAACCAGGAACATAGAACAAACGATTAGCACACAGACGTCGCCTGAAATCTGCGAACAATAACAAAATCGAGCTAGTAAAGAAAAAGGTTTTCATTGCAAACGTTAACAAGCCGCAGTGTGCATTTTATTCCTACTGAAGTTGAAAGAGTCCCTTAAGTTCAAAGAGTCCGTTAAGTCCCTTTAGCCCTTTAGCTCCTTAAAAAAGCTACCAATAATCTTCTTTTTCTCTATGAAATATACATGCGTTCCCTTGCGTGGGTGGTAAGTTAGAAGGAATAATCTGATCGGTTGTTCTTGGCATACGTCAAACGCCCAATATTTTGAGGAGAGGAAAAAATTGTTTGGGCACCATGGAATAAAGTTATCGTCAGTCCTGTTTATCTTTGTGTCATTTTGGGTTTCATATTATTTCAAAACGCAGAATTCCTAGAAGTACAAAATTATTACAAACCACAAACCAAGGGCTTTTAATTTGGCATTTATGTTATCTTCAAGATCTGCTCTAATCTCATTGTACAGGAAAATAGAAATAGATAATACAGTAAAATAGAAGTGAATATTGCTCCTCAACTTAAGTACGGGTCAACAACATTGCAACACTGAAGCAAAGAAATGATAAATGGCTGCATTCAATTGGTATTAAGTCTAGTGCTGTAAGTGAGGCGTAATGAAGTCAGCCCTCGTTTCACAAAAATAGCGCTAATATTTAAGTAAGTATTTTAAGCTTACTAAAGAAGTATTTTAAGTTTAGTAAAGGAAAACGTTGTTAACAAGTCAAATTGATTTCACAGGAAACCTTGCAAGAAGCATTTTGAAATGTTTCCCAGGGAAAAAGGGATGAAACCTTGAACAATGATGAAGTCTACACATGCAGCTATCTTTGATACTCTACTCCACCGATATTATTGTGTTATCGCCGATCCGCAACACAATATAATGCCACTGATAGGTCATGATAAACTTAAATCAACCGAAATGTACAGTTTCAGTAAATCGCCACAAATTAAGATTCCTGGTAAAAATGAACTACCGTGAAATGTTAATTTAAAATGTAGTTATAGTGCGAGAACCAGAACATCTTGATTTAAGAAAACATTTTTAAATATCAGAAAATTTACTTACGTTTTAGATTGCTATAATCAAAAGCTCACAATCTCGCAGACCTGTAGGTGAATATCTGTGATATTTAACTACGTTTGAGGGCTTTTATACCCTGGTTCCGGAACTCAGCCTCCGGGAAATGAGACCTTGGCGCCGGTAAATGAAATTCTGTAAAACACCTCCTTATTCGAGTTTTCCCATGGTTGCCACTCCCGTTGAGAAATGATAGGAAGACTGAATAAGCCATCTGCTTTTAACAGAAAACTTCAATGTAAATATCTAAACATTGCTTATTCGTACAGTTAATTACTTTTCTTGGGGCGGAATACGTGGGGAAACATTCCAAAAAAGCTTTGGAGCTCCTGATGATTGTAGCAGTGGTTTTAGGTCCAACAAAGTTAGGTTTCACCTTCAGATCTAACAATGTTAAACAAAAAGGCTGCTTGATTCTATCGGCCACATATTGAATGCTGTGGCAACTTCGTTAGATGGATTTATTAACACGAAGTATTGTTTTGAAAACAGTACTTTAACAAAAGGGATTTTTGATTAGAAGTCGCAGAGTTTGTCTCCTAATTTTCTTAATGTTGTTTGGAATCGCTTAAAGGCACGGCTTTTTTGAGCCATCGTTTTATTTGAAAAAAGGTCTTTTTCTGTTATTGATTACCACAATTCCATTTAAAGAAAATCTGTGATAGTTTTAACGGCAAATATTCGTTGGGGTTGTTTGGATTTCCGCGCGCCCCTTGATGAATTACTTTTTGTTTGTTTAGCAAGCAATATCCGCTATTTCGCGCTTTAAGCCGTTATATTCCATTAAGCGCTGAATGTATTTTCCAAATTCTAAGAAGTAACGAATATTCCTTTTAGAAGGTAAATGATTCTACAAAACAATGCTAGACGTTGTTCTGTGTTGTAAGAAGCTTTTGTCAAAAACATTGTTCTTGAATAGGTTTATCCCCTATTGCGTCTGAACAAAGGTCTTTAAATAATCACAACGCTATATTGGTGAGAATATAATACTTACCAATATTACTAGTGCGTAAAATGGAAATGATTGAATCTGGAAAAGATTATTAAAAATCTGCAACAAAATCCGAAATTAAATGTACTTAAAGAAAGGAAGTCCTATGTATTCGTGACTAAAAAGCATGGTGGAAAATTTATTGTGGTTGACCTTGCTCCTTTATCCCAGAAAAAAAAAAATTGACAAGCGATATATGTTTGTAATAAGCAATGTGTCTTTATACTTTGAGTATCTTGTTAGTAACACTTCACCTGCTAGAAATGTGTCAGGACTCATGAGCTTTAAAACAACATTAACCAAACATCAGCATTCATTTGGCCTGACTGTCAATCTATATTCAATTAACCAAGGCATCTTTGAAATCTTCCTCCTTGATCGACTTATTTTTGCTTTTAATGCCATCCACGGTCATATAATGAATAACTCCTACCTTTCTTATTAAGTGAATATTTTCAACATCAAATCCGGTGAACGTTTCAAATGCTGACAATTGATACACAGTGTTTTCTTGTTCAACCCGCGAGTTTATATTTAAATGAGTTGAGAAGGTTTTCAAATTTCGGGCGAGTTTCTGGGCTGAACGTTAACAGGGATAGATCACTTTTATTGACCGTGGAAAATGTTAAAGTAATCATTTTTTTTTGGAATACCAAAAAATCTTATTACAATCATCATCTTTTTTAGTTCGTGGCCATTGCAATAACCGCGGTAAGATTACAGAACGCAATCGTAATTTTCCGGTAAGTTCATTATGTTTTGATTATATACCTGAATGACCTTTTGGAATCTCGTGGTTCTGCCGCACAATAATTCAGTCTCATTAAAAATTTCAAAAATACATAGTAAAGAAAAACCTCCCAGCACGACTTCGGAGTCTGATGATTTCTTTTGCCCACCTGTCCATTGTCCGGTGACCGGTTTTTCATATAACTGACAAAGCTTGCAGTAGTCAATCATAAGCACATGAATAAGAACTCCCTTTGAGAGGAAAACTGGCTGGTCATTTATTGAATAAAACTAAATTAGCCATTGTTTCGAAAGTCATATACGCTCTTTCCGTCGGCAAGTTGAAAGTTACGTTCAAATTACCTTCAAGCTTAACGGTTTTCGCTAGCATGTTCTACAATTAGAACTGTAATAGTGAAAAATCTTGCCTTATAATCCACGGTCTAACCACTTCAGTTTAATCATTTTTGACTTTCGGTTTCTACTTTTAACGATAATTTTACTTTGGCCGTCTCCGAAAATTTATTTGGAGGAAGTTCGGTGATGGCAAAACATCTTGGTTCAGTTGCAGGAGAAAAGGTATTTTTTGGTGAGAGCTACATATTAAAGTTATCGGTCACTGTGTAATCTGCGGTTAGTGATCTTTTTAGCGCTCTTGCTAAAAGAAGAACGGGAGTAGAAATTGAGAACCGCTGTTAAAAGGAATATAGCCGGACTGTGGGGGTTATTTTATGAGAGTCCATGAAAAAGTGCTTGTTTGTTGCCAATTCCTTCATGTGAAGGACAAGGAAGTCGAAGGTTCAATACACTTGTTTAAATATCTTGAATAAAGAATTACTATTTATTGAAATAATTTATAATCCATAAATTGAAAACGACCAACAAATTGTCAAAGCGGTGTTTTTGGCACAGACGAAGCTGCAATGTTTAACAGTTTTTTGATTTGGAATCTTCTTTATTTTGAAGTGAGAGTCAATTAAAGTTGCTGCTGGTGGCATTATACAGCTTTCTACGTTTTAAAACCGCTAATCCATACTTAAGCCTCAAACAGTTAACTTTTAGATTGAGGCTTGAGTTAATTACTGCTGTGCCGAACAAAAATCTGTTGTTTCACATGATAATTGTATAAAGTTGATGCAATAGTGAAGAACTAAGCGGAACAAAAACAAATTAGATATTGGACGGTTTTGTGCAGTTTCATTGATAATTTCTGTCTGTGTTATGGCGGTGTAACAAGATTATTTTTAATGAAGTCTCGGGGTTTATTATTGAATACTGAAAATGTATAACTGAGTTTCATTTATTTCAACATGAATATAGGATGGGTGGAACAATTTTTACAGGTAATTGCTGATTAAAAGTAGGACTGTGTTAAAACGAAGCTTGTCAGATAGATGAAAGAGAATAGCGACTTTCAGGCCCCGTTAGGAGAAATTTGAAAACGCAGCAACAGTGGGACTTTTTGAAAATGGAGCTTTTCGTAAACATTGACGTGACGATAATAATGTGATGTTCGAATTTTCCTCAAACACAAATTCAAATATAACAGGGGCGTAGCCAGGATGTTTCAAAGCAGGGGTCACACGGAGCCAAAATGAGGGTACTCCCAGCTTGTCATAGCTTAGCGTTTTCGTCACCTGTTGTAGGTTGTTTGCTTAAAAAGGCTTAAAAAGGGGGAGTCACGGGCACCCCAGGACCCCCCCCCCCCCCCCCCCCCNCATTTGATGCGTTTTCAAAGTGGAACCTCCGTTTTCAAATTCCTCCGGCGTAATGTGGACAGGGCTTTAGGCACGATTCGCAAATGTTGGAAGTGTGACCGGATGCTCGGCATATGTAGCCAAAAATTATAATAAATAGTAAGTAAAACACTTACATGTATTGTATTGGTTACTTTAGGAAGCATTTTCAGAAAGAGTATTCCAAATTTCAACACGATCTTGATCTTGAAAACGCCAGACTGACCTTTGGAGTTTTCCTGCAAGGAAGTTATTTTTTATGCGGGTATTTTGTGTCACTACACGAACATTTTGAGTTGTCACATCAGTTTAAAGTTTATCTGTGATGTCACTTTGATTCATTGCACATTGTTGGGTCATCAGTCGAGTCCTCTTTATGTAGTGGCTTATTGTCAATTTCCGACCGCTGTTCCACAGAATCAAACCCTTATCCCTAGGTATTCTCTGCTCCAGGTTTGTGTTGATTTGCTAATAATCTGATAATAATGATAATAAACCTTATCACGGTTTTGGAACGGGTAGGCTTCAGGCCAACAGCGTCGGGAATTACAGTGTTTGTACGGGAATCCGATATACAAGGCTTACAAGTTCGCGCCCCTTCGCGGAAAAAAATTATTGACAAACGTATAGAAAGTACAATTACATTCCTCAAATTTGTTCAATGCAATGCTTTGCCGGTTTGGTTTCTCAACTTTGCTATTCAGAAATTGTTCAGAATATGAAAATTTGAAAATTATTTCCCACTGCATTTCCTTACAAGCACTGTTATCTCTGATGCGTATTGCATACCCGTCGAGAGGGTGGCAAAGGGTTTTGCGTGACGCGTGACGCGTGATTGAGACCAAATTAGCCGCGTGACGCGGGACAGGACATCATAACGTGATGCGTGATTTGCTGTTTTACAAGCACGTGATGCGTGATTTACCAGTTAGATTTCTATGATAAGTGGAGCGTTCTTTGAACTAGACGGATAGCATTCATTCAAAATAAATAGTGAATAGAGTCTTAAAAAAGATCATCATCAAATCGTGGCAGACGTGACACCATTTTCTGGTCTTTTTCGTCCTTTTCTTGACCTCTGATGTCATGGTACTATAGGTCCAAACAATTGTGATACAAATTATAGGAATAAGTCAATTGAAAATAGTTAAACTTTGCGCAAGGACTATGAGCTTCAGTGTTATTTTTGTCCATTTTGTCGACCGATCATTTTTGGCAGTACATCAGACCAAGAGAATATGACACACCATATCCGAATCCAGCTATCGCATAAAAGGTCTGAATGAATTTCGTCCAAAAGGGCTGAAACGATAACGCACGTTAGAGTTTGGTGTCATTTTATACCGCTTTAGAAGACAGTTGTGTAAGCAACGAGGGACTACGCAAGGAAATCGTTTGGGTGCCACTTAACGAAGGTCGTCATGAAGACCTAACTGAGTTCAAAAGCCACGTTATATCCTTTACAGACATAAAAACGTTGCCGCACAGAAAAGGATTTGCAGGTGTAAAGCTTTGACACAAATATTGCCTGTATATTAGAGCATGGCAAAGGTGGCGTAGACGACTTCTCAATTCGTATACAAGACCTCTACCAACTTAGCCTGTGAACAGGTTCCCGATTGTGTTATAGCCTGCGAGCAGGCTCACCTTTGAATCGCGCGCGAGCGTCGAAGAGCAAAGCGATCCGGCGGGAAGGAGTCTGGTGAAGAGGCGCCAATATGGTTGGCGAAATGGTGCAAAATTCACAAAGTTTATATTCATTCACATTTAATGTTGT